TATATTTTATTGATTTTTTACAGAGAGGAAGGGAGAGAGATAGAGAGCCAGAAACATCGATGAGAGAGAAACATCGATCAGCTGCCTTCTGCACATCCCCCACTGGGGATGTGCCTGCAACCCAGGTACATGCCCCCGGCCGGAATCGAACCCAGGACCCCTCAGTCTGCAGGCCGACGCCCCATCCACCGAGCCAAACCAGTTTCGGCAGGAACATAATTTTTAACTATTTAATTTTCATTAAATTGCTACATGTGGCTAGTAACTACCCTAGTGGACAGTGAATTAAGATCACTTAAAGTGGAGAATACAAAGCAACATAAAAACATACCACTGCTGCCGAGACTGGTTTGGCTCAGTGGATAGAGCGTCGGCTTGCGGACCGAGGGGTCCCAGGTTCGATTCCGGTCGGGGGCATGTGCCTGGGCTGCGGGCACATCCCCAGTGGGGGATGTGCAGGAGGCAGCTGATCGATGTTTCTCTCTCATCGATGTTTCTAACTCTCTATCTCTCTCCCTTCCTCTCTGTAAAAAAATCAATAAAATATATTTTAAAAAAAAAACATACCACTGCTAAAACTAAATACTTACATGCTTCATCTCAGAGAGTTAATGAAATAAAAAACACTTCTGCCTTCTTACAAAAAGCAGATCATCTCTTTTCCAGTAGATCATTAACCCCCATCCCAATCGTTGCCAAAGAAATGCTACTCACACTGTTCACTTAAGTGGCTAAGTCTTCCTCCATAGATTTGGAACATGTATTAGTTCAACTACACTAAATAATCATAAATCTCAAATTACTGTCAGGTACAAATTAATATAGTTTATACTAATAGCTAACTCAAAGGGATATTTCAGAGGTTCTGATCAAAGATATCCTATCTTCAAACAAGTTGGGTGTTGTTTGTATGTTTTTGCGCAAATGAATAGACATTGTCATGCATTCCAAAATAAATGGCAAATGCATCTGATCATAGTTTTTGTTATGTTTCACTGCATTTTGCCAGGACTAAATAAATTTGAGGGTGCCTATTTTTTGAAAATTGTGACAGCTGGCAATGGCATCCTATGAAAGCCAGTTGTTTCAGAGCATCAGTCTCTGACATCCAAACATTACCACTCCTTCACGATGTATACTGAAAAAAATGATGGGAATAGCTGTTGCTAAAGTAGAGCTAGGCCCTAATCACCTTGTACATGTTAAAGTTAACCTTGAAACCTTCTGTACTTGTGTATGTTTGTGGTTCTTTCATTTATCCATTCAACATACAATTGGTGAGATATCCTGAGTTCGAGACTCTCTGATAGTCACTGAGAGCAGCTTTCTCAAATCCAAATGTCTAGGGCAGCCAGATAGGTAAGCACACATGAGTGAATATGATGGGTAAATGGCATTCCATCTTATTTTTTAAGGAAGCTATATTTGGGTATAAGAGACTATGGCAATATACACTTTTTGAAAGAAGACTTAACAGAAAGCCCAGAGACATATGAAAACATGCTCAAAGTCACTAACCATCTGAGAGATGCAAATCAAAACAACAATGAGGTACCATCTCACACCTGTCAGAATGGCTATCATCAACAAATCAACAAACGACAAGTGCTGGAGAGGATGTGGAGAAAAAGGAACCCTCCTGCACTGCTGGTGGGAATGCAGACTGGTGCTGGCGAGGATGTGGAGAAAAAGGAACCCTCCTACACCAGTGGTCGGCAAACCACGGCTCATGAGCCACATGTGGCTCTTTGGCCCCTTGAGTGTGGCTCTTCCACAAAATACCATGTGCGGGTGCGCATGTACAGTGCAATTGAATCTTCGTAGCCCATGTG